TTCATGATCTTATCCCCACATCCATAAATCCATCACATGGTTCAATCTTCTTCAGCCACACCCATCTAGTTTCGGTCAGATGCAGAGGTGCGGAGACAAAAGATGACCTTGGGCTTCTAGAAAAGAATAACAACAACACATTCCACAATCCTACTCCTTTCTATTCCCCCCTCCCAACTACTACACTAATGAAACAGCATAGTGAAATAATAGAGAGTGTGGCAGGCCAAAGATCCTAAAAGGGATATAACTGCTCGCCTGACAGTAAGATCTTTTCCTTTTGTGAGCTTCTGTTTCGTCGTTTGCTGGGAAACAGAAGCTCACGAAAGAAACTCCACGGAGTTCTGACCTGGGGCGATGGCGCACATGCCAAGCAGGGAGGGCTCTGCGTGCCACCTCTGGCACCTGTGCCATCGGTTTGCCATCACGCGGCCAGAGCAATCTTAATTTAATTAAAAACCAAAGGCTGGGACAAGACAGGCTGGGGAGCGAATTAAACTCCGTACCAGAAGCCATAACAATGGAAAAGAGGGCAGAGCTGAAAAAGTTCCCCTGAAAAAGATTATTTAATTTATGGATTGTTCTTCCACACCAACCACTGTCTAGAAGAGCGACCTCGTTCAATTTTAGAACAATTTTGTTCTAGAGTGCCGGTGTAGAGTTTCCTGTGCAGTGTGTAGGGGGAAGCTTATGGGTGGTCCTTGACTGTTGACCACAGGTGGAGTCAGAATTTGTGTTGCTAATCAAGGTGGTTGTTGTGAGCAAGGGTGGGCTCCTACTGGCTTAACAACCAGTTTGCAGAGTGCATGCTTTGCGCGCACAGTGCGTTTGAAAATTTACCTTCTACAGAAGCCCCAGTGCAGTGGGTTTCAAATATTTTTAGAATCTCTTCTGTGGGTGTGGCCTGCTTTGTGGGAGTGCTTTGAGGACAAAAACGTTAGCCATCACTGTCCTAGAAGAAATCAATGGCCATTTGGACCCATTTCTCTCCCCTCCTCCCACCCTCCTTCCCTCCCTCCCTCTCTCTCTCTCCTCAACCCCCCTCACAGGGTTGTTGCTGTGAGGGGTAAAAAAGGAGGAGGAAGGCGTGTTGTATATGTCTGCCATCTTGAGTTATTTGCGAAAATAATCATAATAAAGGAGGGCTATAAATCTATCAGCCGCTTCCATCGGTTGCCAAGGAAACCACGTGGAACAAGTTACGAGAAGTGACTACTTCGACTTCGAGTAGATGTTACCTCGTTTAACATTTACTGAAAACTGAACGTCGCCTTTTCATCTATTTAGTCTCGTTCCTCTGTTCGCGTCAGTTTAATAACAAATGGCAAACTTTGGAATTAAACTCTGCAGGCCGCAGCCAAAGCCTTGTCTCAACCGCATCCAGCAACACGGAAAGTCGTATTGAATAAACTTTCCTCAGTTTTAAATTAGACACGATTCCTCGGTTATAAATATCTCCGGATAATCCTTCAGAGGCCGAAAAAGAAAAAAAAAACTGTCCTAAGCACTCGGTGCTAAATAGCTCCCCACGTCCTGATATTAACTGTGAGCTGCCCAGAGTCGGTTTTCCGAGATGAAATCAAATAAATAAACGTCTCCCTTATATAGCGATCAAGAAAACCTGACAGGGACATTCTGTATAGATTCAAGGAAATCTCTTTTTCTTTTTTTGTCTGCTCCTGGAAACTTCTCACAGCTAAGTCACAATGTTCTCAGAAGTGAACTCAGGATCCCATATATGATGTCATTCACCACTCGCAGGAATTTCAAATCCCCGTTGGAGCATCTGTTTAGCCTGGTGTGAAAAGAGAGTTCAAGGCCTGGGACTTGAACTAAGAATGGTTTGTTTTTTTCCCCAGAGTGGTTGAACTTCTGTAAATAATGTTCTGCCGTGCTCTGCTTAAAGAAAACCCCAAAACTGTTTGCATTTGCAAGTCAGAAAAGTCCGCAGCTCGTTGGTTCGGCTGCCAAAACATTTAGCGAAGGACAGAAGAGGGAATTACTATCAGTACATATCAGTGGTGGGTTTCAAAAATTGTTCGAACCTACTCTGTGGGTGTGGCCTCCTTTGTGGGAGTGGCTTGCCACCCATGTGACTGGA